AATGTTTTATTCTGAAATACATTATATCTTTTAATACTGCCAAAGAATATTTGATTGTTACCTCTAATATAACATTCAAAACTCCTAACATGCGTTTTGATGTTTTGTAAAGCTCAGCTTCTTCCTTAACAGTCTCTACAGTTTTTTCAATAAAATCTTTGTTATGTAGATTTTCAGACCAAATAGGACCACAAACCTGTCGAGAAATAAAACATTTCCATCTTAAAAAATGCGTTTTTCAAAAAATTGGTACTTTTCAGTTAACTCAGCACAAGCAAAAGTTTCCAAAAAATGCAGACCTACTCCAATGTTTAAATTTTTTTTTTACTATTTTTATTTTGTTATTTTTTAAAACATTGAAAAAAAGACATTCACAAAAAATTGATATAAAATAACAAAAATATTTTTTTTTTTAAATTGTGAATTTTCTTATGTCTGGTTAATTAAAAAGTACCAAATATTATTTAACTTTTAATTTTCAAAACAAAATTATAAATAAAAAGAACATGCTAAGGTTAGTGAAGTAGATGGTTCAAAAGTAACTTAATATTTAATTTGACCTTCTCTCGCTTTTCAGCAAAAGTGATTAGAATTAAATTATACAATTATAAATACTCAAAGCTTGTTATTTTTCTCTTAAGTAGGCAGAATATACCAATAAACACATGTTATGCACTCGACTTTACAGTGAAAGAATAAAGGTTTAACCTGAAAAAAATAAAAAAAACTTGTTTTCAACATATCTTTAAAAAATGCACGAAAATTTCAAACTCACCTTAAACGAATGTCCACAATTTATACATTTTGAGTCAACAGGAGGACCTGTACCAGGTGAATACTTTTGACTAAAAAAAAAACACCATATAAATATCGGAAGAAAACTAGTAAATCTAATACTTCTGGAAAAATACTTAAATAATCCAAAAAATATTTTTAAAAAAAATTCAGATTCATAAATCAGCTATAAAAAATATTAATCACATATAAATAAACAATATCACATCAACTGAAAAGTTTGCAGAATGTTAAACAAGTTTTAGTTCAATGTTAAAACTTTAACGAGTTTACTTTAACACAATCAGTAAAATTTAACATCACTTAAATTTAACATCAATGAAGATAAAAGTCAATTTATTTTAACCTCACCTTCTTATCACACAAAGACTTCTCTTGAAATAACAGTTTTATCTACATGGTAGGCTATTTAAAATTTAAAGTAATTCAGTTAAATTTTCTTAACAAAATTCCAAATCCAAATTAATTTGGCTAAATTTAGAAAAAATATTTCATAATGGGGATATTTGTAATAGGGATAATTATAATGGGGATATTTTACTAGTAATTTTAAATCAAGTCTAGTAATTTTAAATCACAAAATTTGATTAATGGCAATAATAAAGCATGCATTTATATTCAACTCATATAAAATGATACTAATTTTTACAATAAATGACAAAACATTTTAAAGGAATAATATAAAATCAAATTACTTTTCTCAAAAAATTAACATACGTATATATTGATTGATTTCTAGCAACTATGTGAAGTAAATATATTAGGACAAAAAAAAAATGCAGTTATTTTTAGTTTCATAAAATGTAGTTAATATAAAACTTTGTCTATTAGTTAGAAAACTCATATACACATGCAAATAATGAAAGAAAACAAGCAGTAAAGTGAAATTATTGATATTTTTAAAACATTAAAAATTAATAACAGTCATACCCTTTCTCAGTTTTTAATTTTTTTCCAAGTGGTTGTAAATAGTAGGATTCACAGCCATTGCAAATATAAACCATAGAAAGCTTGCTAAAAGATAAAAGACAAACCATTTAATAAAACTGTTGAAAATAAGTAAAAACGAATTAAGGGTATACAATTCAGTTCATATACAATACAAATAACTAAAACTAAATTTATAAAAATAGTGCTGAACAAAACTTTGAAAATTAAAATTAAAGTTAGTATCCACACTATTTGATATTGGTATATTATAATAAATATTACTAAATACTATGTCAATTTTGAACAAGAGATAGATGTTAGTATCTATAATTTAACATAAAAGAATATATAGTAAAATTATGTACTCTAAAATTATTTTTCAGCTTTTAAGATGCTTTAAAAAAAAAACACCATTTTCATGACATTTTTTAAGCAAATTAAAAATGGAGTATTCAAAAAAAAAAACTATAAAATATATTTCTGTTTTCACAAAGATGCAAATTAAAAATAAGCATAACTTACCAAACACTATTTTTTACAGCAATCGGACTTGTGAATATCCGAACAAACAATCTGACATAAAAATCTACACTGAGAGATAAGATTGGTTCGATATACCTTCCATATCTGTTTGCATGTGATTCAATAGCCTGCAACACTATGCGGAGTGCCTGTGAAATATATTAGTTTCTCTGAGTGCTGTTATTTTCTTTAAAAAGAAAAATATTAAATAAAAAATCTATTAAAAAGGGGAAATGATTTTATAATTTTTATAAAATAACACACTATAATAAACTAGCTAATTCAGATAGAGGTTATTTATAAAAATTTCCTTTTAATATTTTTTTTTAAAAAGAACAAATGTTAGAGAAAAAATCTATTAAAAGGGGCAAACAGATTTTTTAACTTTTTTAAAAAATTACAACTAAATAAACAAGGTAAATCAGATAAAAATTATTAATAAAAACTTATACTTTTTGATTTTTTAACAGAACTTTTTTCTTTACAATCTTACTTTTTCAATTACAGCAATTAATCAAAGTAATGAAAAATTTTACGTATCAGAATGTGTGTAGAAGTAATATTAAAAGGAATAAAATCACCACTGCAGAACATTGAAGCATAAAAACAGTCTATTAAAACACAATAGTCCTAAATAAAAAATAAAAAGAAACATCTTTTTACTCTGAACCAGATTATTTTTGAAGCTGAAAATAAAAAGCTATAAAAGATGACAGCAATATTTCAATGCCACATTGCAAAAAATATGTAGAAAATTAAATATCTAACAGAAATTGAGCTTTGAATAAAATACTTATATTAAATAAATAATAAATTTTTAAAATATTTTTAGACATTCATCTGGAATAATTTACAATTTAATGGGAATTATTTTCTTTTGCAATTTAGTGGTGACCTCAATAGCAGAAACAAACAAGCATAGCAGATTATCACATAATCTGCAGATTATATCCCATTTCCGATTGAAAAAAAAATAATAACAATAAGAACTATATCTGTTTTAGTTCTTTCCTGAAATAAATAAAATTGCTGATAAAATATAGAAATCAAGTGAAAGAGTACAGACAATTCTTTTCGATCTTCATTGCTGAATAATTAAAATCTTATGCCTAAAAAAATTAATCAGACGAGTGCAGCCTGCGATCAGAGCCTCGATATTGCAGCTGCGAAATTTTAGTATGTAGAAAAAGCTTTTATCATGGGCTCTGGTACTATTTTATTCACTATATATTCATGAGGGGTGAAAACATATACAAAATTTAAAATAATTTAATGATTTATTAAAGTTAAATTTTTTCATAAATTTTAAAATACTGCTGCAGTTCTTCTGATATCGAATCTGAGATAATCTGATTTGATTTTATAATTAGAATAATTTGATTCGATGTTCAGAAACTTTAACTATGGATGTATTTATATTTTTTTTAGTAATGCTGTGTAAGTTTCAATGTGAACTTAAAAAAGCATACATTTTTGTGTAGATTTACTTTATCTATCCTTTGTCAAAAAGTGAAAATTTCACAACACAAGGTGTTCTATTAAATAACCAGACTGTTGCTGTAAAACATCATATTTTGAATAGAAATTTTTTTAGTTAATATCACTTTCAATATCCCTACTGTACTTCAGAAAATTTTTCCGTTGTTAGAAACAGTAATTGCAGCTTTTTTTTCTGTGAGCTCCTTCGCGTTTTTTTCTTTTACAACTTCAATGAACTGGATTTTTTTCCCCATATAATGCAGATTTCACCGAGGGAAACAGGTAAAACTAACATGGTGCTACATCTGGAGAATAAGGAAGATGATCTACTTCTGGGATACTGAAATTGTTTAGAAATGTCCTAACACACAATGTGGTTGGAATGTTGTCTTGATGGAGAACATGTGACTTATTCTTCCACATTGTCATGTAAAATTTGTGTTGCACATTTTTCTTCAACTCATACAGTTTCCAAAATACCAAGATAAATTAACCTACAGTCACAATAAATCAGATTACCAACTTTTCTAATTTTTTCATTTCTTTTTTGGGGTAGAAGGGTAACTCGTATGTAAATTATCTTCACCATTCTCTCAGCCATCTTGGAAACACCTAAACTTTTAAAAAACTTGAGCGTGTGATTGCCGTATGCTTTTTGTACTGTTTTAATAATGCTTTTTCCAAGTTTCATTTGAAATTTGACGATGGTTCTTTGTTTAAATATTACACTTATCATTTTTCCAGCAAAACAAAATAACAGCTCATATACAATTGAAGGCCTCAGCCAGACTAAAGACACAGGTGGAACACATTTTAAAGAGAGAAATTTTTTTATGTGAGGACAATTGTAATTTAGTATTTTGATTCTAACTTCCCTCACCTCCCCCAAAATGGACATTCATGTTAAGTTATGAATCAATTAGGTGTTTTGACATTAACATTAAAATCATGTTGAAAGTGTAATCTTTTTAGGGAAGAGAGGGTTTCATATTCTATTGATTCATAATTATACAAATAACCCTGAATTAAAAAATATTGTAAATAGCCAACAAAGATAAGCAATTTATCAAGTTCCTCTTGATAATTTTTACTTTAATTTAACTTAATATTTTATAAATAGTTATCGAAACCAATTTATAAGATTTAATGATTACAAACTCAACATAAAGAAACCCTAACAAAGATAAATACAAAACATAAATTAAAATACATGATCATACACATAAATTAAGACAATTTAAAATATGTTATTCTCTGCAGAACAAAAACATACCATTTCATGGCAGCTACCAATTTTAGCAGATACTGCTCCATACTTTGCATGACAAGCTTCTATACCATTACCACATAATATTGCCATATCAGTACAGGTTATCATTAAAAGACCTGCAACAAGGATATACATTTTTTAGACAAAATAAAGAAATAAAGCATGCATTATTTTTTTTAAATAACAAAGAATGAAAACTAAAAAACTTTTATAAGTAAGCAACAATAAATTAAATTATAACTCTAATTAAAAAAATCCACAGAAATGTAAATTTTCAAATGGGATAAAAAAAATAGAAACATAACTGTAAACAAATAAAAATAAAGAAAAAATGAAAATCAATCATAGAAAAAAATCACACACAAAACTTAAATGACATATTTACATTTAAATAATTTGAATAATTTAAAAAGCTTTTCAAGTGTTTAGAAAAAACTTCTTTACCTCAAAAATGAATATTTTTTCAGAAATACTTTAAAGAGGTAGAAAGCATGCAGAGTTCAAAGAAAATGCAAAAAGGCAATTACTGTGGTTCACTATCATAAGCATATAACAAACTTCTGTGACGTGATTCTGTGAGTCTTGTTGCATTATTGATAACAGTAGTACTAATATATAATATCAATGTGAATGTCTTTTTAGCTTCATTTTCTTTTATTAAATATTGTCTAGTCACTGCTCAGATATCGCAGTTTTTTTTTGGTTAACTTTTATGTATTTTTTTTAGTAAACTTTTCAGTAACTGTTATTGTAATTAAAAACAATTTTAAAAAATAAAACTAATAAAATTAATGAGAATTAACTGCTTAATAATAAGGTTAAAAAAATAAAGAATAATTAAATAGAAAAACACATATTTTAGATGCAAAAAAAAATTTATCAATAACCATGACAATAATCTTACAAGTAACAGGATGAAAATATAAACATGAAAATAATCAAATAAAATATTTAATCAATGATTTCATGAAACAAGAAATCCAAACTAGAAATAAACTTTGCAAATCACTGTATCATATTGGAAATACTAAACATTTTCAAAAAGAAACTACTATGTAGCAATAATTAAATTTAATAATTTTTTTTAATATTTAACCATATTTCTGCTCATAAACATAAATTCTTATTTCACTATCAGTCCAATAATTAAAAACGTTGCTAACAATATTAGTTACTAGAATACGAAGAAAATCTTCAAAATCTTAAAGTTACTAACTCAATACAATAAATAAACTACAGTAACATATTATTTATAAAGCCTTCACTTTTTTATTATACCAATTTAAATTAAGAATATCTTCAATTCTTTTTTAATAAAATAACTCTTATTTAAATGATTAAATCTTTATAAAACTAAGACAATAAATTAAGTAGTAACAACCTGCAATACTGTCTTTATTTATCGAATTTTTTTTATTCATTGTGAGTTCAAATGAAAAATGTCACAAGTTCGATTTTAAAAGAATAGCTCAAATTTTTATTGAAATTTCAAGTTTAAAAGAACATGAAATTAAAAACAAAAATTAATAACTTATGATATAAATCATTTGTCCCCTTTCTATTTAATATTCACTATACATTTAAGTGTAAATAAAAAAAGAATTTAAATTTTTATTAACTTATCTAAAATTTTAATAA